GGATCGCCGGAGCCCAGCAGGTCGAGGCTGCGGTGGCCGGGAGCAGCCTCTGCACTCCAGTCTGGGTGACAGAGTGAGATTCCAACTCAAAAAGAAAAAGAAAAGAAAAGAAGTGGCAGTAGTTGGAAACTGCCAGGGGAGGGGCAGCAGGATTGGCAGTAGTGGGAAACTGCCAGAGAAGGGAAGGGCACACCTCATCAACAAGGAAACCTGCGTAATGAACATTTGTATACCTAACCCTGAATTGTACCCCACATCTTTAAAATTAAAAATTAAAAAATATATATGAGCAACAAGCCAGGAATAGTGGGTCACCCTTGTAATCCCAGCACTTTGGGAGGCTGAGGCGAGAGGATTGCCTGAGCCCAGGGGTTGAAGACCAGACTGGGCAACTTAGCAAAACCTCGTGTCTACAGAAAATTTAAAAAGAAAATTTTTAAAAAATTATTCTTCATTTTCTTAATTTATTTTATTTTATTTTAAAGATGTGGGATACAAGTCAGGATTGGGTACACAAGTGGTCATCATATAGGCAAAGTTTGGTCCTCCCTTTGGTCCCCACTTCATTTACCTGGTTTGAGATCAGGTACCCTTATTAATGTTGTGTTCCCCACCCCCTCCCCTGGCAGTGTCCCGCTACTGCAATCCCTTTCTTATAGTGTTATGGTAAATGTTCAGGGTCTGCTTATGAGTGAGAACATGTGGTATTCAGTTTTTTGTTTCTGTGATAGATCAGTGAGTATGATAGACTCTAAATCCATCCAATTAGCTAGCAAAGTCCATAATTCTGTCCTTTGTGGCTGCATAATATTCCATCATGTATATGTACCACTTTTTTTTTCCAGTCCACTTTTATTGGGCAGTATGGTTGGTTCCATGTTTTTGCTATTGTGAATAGTGCTGCAATAAACATGCATGTGCAAGAATGTTTTTTATAGAATGATTTTAGTTCCTCTGGGTATACTCCCAGGAGGGGGATTGCTGGGTTGTATGGAATGTTGATTTTTAGATCTTTTATGAATTGCCAAGCTGTTTTTCACTGAGGTTGTACTAGTTTACACTCCTACCAATGGTGTAGAAGTGTTCCCTTCTCCCCACAGCCTCTCCAGCACCTGTTGTTTTTTGAGTTGTTGATGATGGACATCCTGACTGGAGTTAGGTGGTATCTCAATGTAGTTTTAATGTGCATTTCTTTGATGATTAATGAAGCTGAGAATTTTTATCATGTATCTGTTGGTTGCTTGTATGTCTTCTTTTGAGAAGTGTCTATTCATATCCTTTGCCCACTTTTTAATAGGGCTGTTTGTTTTTTTTCCTTTTGGAACATTTAAGTTCCTTATAGATCTTGAATGTTAGGCCTTGGTCAGATATACAGTTGAAAAATATTTTTTCCCATTCAGTGGGCTGCCTCCCCACTCTCTTGATGGCTTCTTTTGCTTTGCAGAAGCTTTTCAGTTTGATGAAGTCCCATTTGTCTACCTTGTCTTTTATGACATTCACTTTTAGGGATTGATCAAGAATCGGTTGCCTTTTCTAATGTGATGAGTGTTTCCTGCATTTTCTTCTAGGAATCTTGTAGTTTGAAATTTTACATTTAGGTCTTTGATCCATTTAGAGTTGTTTTTTGTGTATGATGATAAGTAGGGGTCCTGTTTCAATATTCTGCATGTGGTCAGCCAGTTTTCCAGCACCATTTACTGAATAAGCTCTGTTGAAGTAAGTTGGTTAAGAAATTGAGGTTTTTTTTCTGGAATCCTGTTCTACTGGCCCATATGTCTGTTCTTGTACCAGTACCAGGCTGTTTTGATTATTGTAGGCTTATCATAAAGTTTAAAGTCTGGAAGTGTGGTACCTCCTGCTTTGTTTCTTTTGCTAAGGATTGTTTTGGACATTTGTGGTCATTTATGTTTCCATATGAATTTCTGTATTATTTCCAGGTTTGAGAAGAAAGACGTTGGTAATTTAAAGGGTATTGCATCGCATCTGTATTGCCTTCGTAGGATGGACATCTTAGCAATGTTGATTCTTCCAACCCATGAGCATGGAATATTTTTCCATTTGTCTGTGTCTTCTTGGATTTCTTTGAGCAGTGTTTTGTAGCTTTTGTTGTAGAGGTCCTTGACTTCTATGGTTAGGGAGATGTTGAGGTATTTCTTTTGTGTGTGTGTGTGTGTGTGTGTGTGTGTGTGTGTATGTGTGTCTGTTGTGAATGGGATTGTGCTTTTTATTTGGTTTTCTGCCTGTTTGTTGTTGGTGTATAAGAATGCGACTGTCTTTTGCACATGTGTTTTGTACCCTGAGACTTTGTCAGAGTGCAAGGAGGTTTTTGACAGATTCTGTTGGGTTTCTGAGATAGAGGATCATGTCATCAGCAAAGAAGGATAACTTAACTTCTTTTCCTATTTGGATACCCTTGATTTCCTTCTCTTGTCTGACTGCTCTAGCTCGAACTTTCAACACTATGTTGAACAAGAGGGGTGAGAGTGGGCAGCCTTGTCTTGTTCCAGTTTTCAGGGAAAATACTTCTGATTTCTGTCTTTTTAGCAATATATTGGCTGTGGGTTATTGTAGCTGAATCTTACTATTTTGAGGTATGTTCCATCTATGCCCAGGTGTTCAAGGGTTTTTATCAAGAAGGGATATTGGATTTTACCAAAAGTTTTTTCTGCATCTAATGACCCAATCCTGTGGTTCTTGTTTTTACATCTGTTGATGTATTTAATTACGTTTGTGATCTTGCAGATGTTGAACCAGCCCTGCATCCCAGGGATGAAGCCTACTTGGTCATGGTGTAAAATTTTTAAGATGTGTTGTTGGATCTGATTTACTAAAATCTTGTTGAGAATTTTTGCATCTATGTTCATCAGGGAAATTTGTCTGTATTTCTCTTTCTTGCTGGATCTTTACCCAATGTGGGTGTCAATGTGATGTTAGCATCATAAAATGATTTGGGGAGATTTCTGTCTTTCTCAACTGCCTGGAATACTTTCAATAGGATGGGTATCAGCTCCTCCTTGTATGTTTTGTATGGGTCAACACAAAAATCAAAACAGAAATTAAAAGATTCCTGGAAACAAATGAAAATGAAGAGACATCTTACCAAAACTTCTGGGATGCCATGAAAACAGTACTAATAGGGAAATTCTTTCTCTACAAATACACATCAAGAAAATGGAAAGATCACAAGTTAACAGCCTAACAAATCACCTAAGGGAGCTGGAAAAACAAGACCACCACAACCGAAACTTCAGCAGAAGAATCCAGTTCACCAAAGTAAAAGCCCAAATGCAGAATGTAGAAGACAAAAATATCATTTAAAAAATCAATGAAACGAAAGGCTACATATTTGAAAGTATAGACAAGATTAATGGATCCCTAGACTGACTGATGAAGAAAAAGAGAGAAGAAGCCAAAATAAGCACAATCAGAAACACAAAAGATCAAGTCACAACTGACCACAAAGAAATAAAAAAGATTATCAGAGATTACTATGTACACCTGTATGGAAACCAACTTGAAAACCTAGATGAAATGGAAGACTTTCTGACATCGCACAACCTCCCAAGGTTGAAACAAGAATAGATTGAGACCCTAAATAGACCAATAACAACCCAGGAAATTGACTCCATCATAAGAAAAATACTTACCAAAAAAGAATCCCTGGACCAGAAAATCAAAAACTAAGCCAGGCATGGCGGTACCTGCCTGTAGTTCCAGCTATTTGGAAGGCTGAGGTAGAAGGATCACCTAAGCTCAGTAGGTCAAGGCTGAGGTAGCCATGAATGTGCCACTGTACTACAGAATGAGATTCTCACTAAAAATATATATATATGATTTTTAAATGTTTATATATATACATGATTTTAATACATTTGTATATATGAGCAAGTTTGGTGCCAGCTTGCAGAAGTATCTTCAAACCACCTCCCAAATATATCACATTAAAAAAAAAAAATCAGCTTCTAGGAAGATGACAATGAAACAGGTCAGACTGTGAGTCTCCACAAAAGTGAGTGTCCATAAAGACACTCTGCGTGAGTTGGTGTGTGTCAGTGGGTGAGTGAAAGTCCGCCTGAGGGGAGACTCGGATTCATGCACCCATAGCTCTCCTCTGAAGATGACTGCAACCCCCAACCACCTTGAGATTGGAGTCCCCAGTGCACAGTATCGTCTGCTGTTCTCAGGGCTCTCTTGAGAGGAAGCAGCAGAGAACATCCACAACTCACCACCTGGCACCTGGACCACGCCATCACCTGCAGCAGCAGACTGGGCACAAGCAGGAGGAACCACAGAGACGACAGGTCATGGAAATCTGGAATAAGCTCCAACGTGGATGACAAGACAGCCATGGGTGGCATCTTCTCAGTCCCAGGTCCAGGCAGAGACCCACATTGCCCCGCCCAGCTCCACCCAGCCTCCACCTTGGGACCCAGAGACTATCCTCTCATCAGACTGGGAGAGACAGACACCCCTACCCCATGCTGGAATAGGCACAGACACATCAGATCTGAGTAGGAGATCTGACAGCAGCAGCAGTGAGTAGGGAGAGTTCACATCTGATCCATCCTCTTCTCACAGTAGTCCATGGGGGATCTGCCTCATGCTGAGAGCAACCCTATCAGCCTGCGCTGAGAGCAGAGGAGAGAGTCTGGAGACCAGAGCCACTCCTAAGACAGAGTTAGTTGCTAAAAGGAACCTGGAGTTACAGAAACAGTCACAGAGTTGGTTTTTTTTCTTCTTGTTTGTTTTTTGTTTTAGTTTTTGCTTTTTTTTCTTCTCTCTTTCTGTTTTTTGTTTACATTTTTGTACTGCATTGTTTCTGTTATTTTAATTTTTTTTTTAGATTTTCTGTTGGTGTATGGGTAATTTTGAGGGAGAGTACACCAACGGGGGTGTTTGTTTGTTTGTTTGTATGATTGTCTGTATGTTTTTGTCTTTTTTGTCTTTGTTGGTTTCCCTGTTTGTTAGTTGGTACACCTGTCTGTTTTCCCTGTTCTTCTTCTTTCTCTCCACCTTCCTTTTGTCTTCCTCCTTTCTTTTTCCATTCTTGGCCCTTTTCTTATCTCATTTTGCTTTCAGGGAGCAAAGAGACAACCCCAGTGCATGAACAGATTGTAAGGCAGTGGAAAGTGGGTTCCAAGAGACCATACACCTGTCAGGGGATACTGGGATCTGCAGATAGCTTCTGAATCACAGCTTCCCCCCTTAATTAAATCTCAAAATTGCAAGAAGCACAGGCCCCACCCCCAGTCCAGCTTCAAAACTGAACAAAACCAGAGGATCTTCATACGAAAGAATAGGAGATAGAGCAAACAGAAATAAAAGCTCTCCCCCCATAACTGAACAAAAGAATTAAAGAAAAGGTATAAAAAGGGGGTAGGAAAACACAAGTGAAGAAAAGCCAAAGGAAGAATATTAGTCTCACACAGACCCCTGGGAGATCAGCCCCTGAGAATACAGACTTTGGAACTCAAACAATGAAGAGCCCCCAAAATGACTGATCTGAAACCAGAAACCCAGATATCAAGATATTAATAGAGAGAATAAATAGAAATGAGGAGAGACAAGAGGAAAGAATGAAGGAGTTGATAACTGAGATAACAGCAATAAAGAATACAGTGAATGAAATAAATAGCAAACTGATAAGCATGGAAAGCAGAATTAACCAAGCAGAAGAATCTCAGAGCTTGAGGATCAAAATATGGAACTAACCCAAACTGTTCAAAAAAACAAACAAACATAGAAAAGAAGCTTAAAAAGACAGAACAAACCTTCGAGAGATGAGCAATTATTTCAAGAGGCTGAACATATGATTAATTGGAATTTCTGAGGCAGATAGAGAGACAGAGATCACCCTGGAACAAAAATTCCATGAAATTATCTAAGAAAACTTCCTTCATCTCATCAGTGATGTGACCATTCAAACACAAAAGATTCAGAGAACTCCTGCAAGACAACAAATGAGAAGACAAACTCCTAGAAATATAGTAATTTGCCTACACACAGTAGATATAAAAGGAAAAATCCTAAAGGCAGCAGGAAAGAAAGGCCAGTCTACGTACTGGAGAAGACCAATTAGAATAGCAACAGACTTATCTACAGCTTGGAGCCCAGTCTTCAAAGTTCTCAAAGATAAACAATTTCAACCAAGAATTACCTACCCAGCTAAGCTAAGTTTCATCAGTGATGGAAATTAAAATCCTTCCCAGACATTCAATACCTAAGAGTTTATGCTGCCTCCAGACCAGCTCTACAAGAAACACTTAAGAAAGTATTAAACACAGAAGAAAGGAAACAATGCTCTTCCCAAGAAGGCAGGAAAAAGATTGAAAACACACGAGTCAACCCAAAACTCAAAAGGAAGACAACAAACAAATAAGAAAACAAACAACAGCAAGAATAGCAAACTCTATAAGAATCTCATGACAGAGATAAACTCTCACATCTCAATCATTAACTTGAATGTGAATGGAGTAAATGCACCACTGAAAAGACATAGAATGGCAAATTGGATAAAATATCATGAGGCAACAATATATTGTCTCCAAGAGACTCATCTCACCAGAAAGGACACTCGCAGACTAAAAGTAAGAGGATGGAACAAAATTTCAGGCGAACAGAACACAAAAGAAAGCAGGAGTCATAATCTTACTATCAGACAAAATACCCTTTAAGCTATCAAGAGTTTTAAAAGATACCAGGCACCGTAGTTCAAGCCTGTAATCCCAGCACTTTGGGAGGCTGAGGCCAGAGGGTTGCCTGAGCCCGCGTGTTTGAGACCAGCCTGAGCAACATGGTGAGATCTCATCTCTACGATAAATCAAAAAAATTAGGCAGGCACAGTAGCACGTGTCTGTAGTTATGGTTACATGGAAGACTGAGGCAAAAGGATCGCCAGAGCCCAACAGATCAACGGTGGGGTGGCCAAGAGTGTGCCAATGCACTCCAGCCTGGGAGATGGAGTGGGACTCCAGCTCAAAAAATTAAATAAAATTTTAAGATTCAGAAGGTCACGACAGAATGATAAAAGGTTCAATCCATCAACAAGAAATATCCATTCTAAACATATGTACACCCAACATAGGAGCACCAAGTTTTATAAAGCAGTTTCTAGGTAAACTAAAAAAAGATATTCATTCTAACACTATCATAGCTGAGGAAAAAGATACCTACACTCACATGGGGTGGGGTACAAAGGAGCACCTTCAACATTTCTACCCCCTCTTCTTCTACATCCATCTTCCCCCCCACCTCACCCCTCTCCACAGCTCTGAGAGAGGAACTGATATTGTATCTTCCTGTCCTACACTAGATCAGGAAAGCCAGGAGGAAAACCCAAAACCAACCTCTCCACCTCATCCAATGTGCCTAGATCTGATCTGCTTGGGAAACTCTGGCCCTCTTTGTTTCTTACCGGAGCATAAGAGGCTTTAGGGTGGTCGTTCCAAGCAAGAACATGAGAACTGAGAAGGCCATCATCGCAAACCCCAGCAGCTCAGCTTGGTCCTCTCCGGCACTGGACGGCAGCTTCTTGTGCACATCTGGAGGGCCTCTGTCGCCAGAGTCTACGTCTCGCTTCTTCCCTGAGGTCAGAAAGGCTGTCCTTTGGGGGAAGTGAGGAGGAGATATGGCAACGAGCTCACAAAGGGATGGGAGCATGTACCTAGCCACAGGAGGGGAGAGAGGGAATCCCACTTGCCATCTGCCTGGGAGGCATGAGCAGGATTAATGCCACACAAGATTCCATGTCCAGTCCATGGAACAAGCTCAAGTGACGTGTTATCAAGTACTTTTAAAGATGTTGTAACAAACAAGACTAAGGAAGTTGCCTGGTGCAAGTCTTCAGAGACTTGTGTGATCAAAGGCTAGAAAAAAATGACCTATGATAACTTTCATTTGTGTTACGTAAGAAGTGTTGTGCACTTATTTATCTTTCAGGGATATTGCACATCCCTCCTGAAGCATTTTTTTTAATTGTCCTGTAAATTCCATATGGAAAGAATGACAAAAAATTTACATTTGGAATTAACAGCACCCTGCAACCATGGGGTTCAGGCAGGCGTGATGGCTCACGTCTGTAATCCCAGCACTTTGGGAAGCCAAGGTAGGAGGATTGCTTGAGCCTAAGAGTTCAAGACCAGCCTGGGTAGCATGGTGAGACCTTGTCTTTACAAAAAAAAATTTAAAAATTAGCCAGGCATGGCAGGCTGTTCCTATAGTCCCTGCTACTCGGGAGACTGAGGTGGAAGGATGGCCTGAGCCTAGGAGGTCGAGGCTGTGATGAGCTGGGATCATGCCACTACACTCCAGTTGAGCAACAGAGTGAGACTCCCAACTCAAAAAATTAGTGAGATTTGATTTGTTCTTTCATATTCACCTGCTGGAAAGGCAGCACACACACCACCTGGCCTCTGGACCATGGGCCATTCATTCAGAATGATGCCGTTTCCCCTCCTACTCTCCACTTACCCTACTTCTCTCTGGCCACTCACAGCTGCACAAGTATTTCTGCATTTCTTCTCTCTGTCTCTGTGCTCTGCCTGAAACCTGCTCCAGCAACAGATGGGACACATTCTCTCAGATCGGGGTGTCTACTGAATGGTAAAGTCCAACACAAAAGTCACAAACTGGTCCCCATGGACAGGGTCTAGTCCATGCATGTGTTTTGTTTGGCTTTCTGTGAGCTTTTTTAAAAATGTGGGATAAGTTGCTAACACTTTAAAAAACCATGACATTTCTCATAAAAATGCTGTTTTCTGCCGGACATGGTGGCTCATGCCTATAATCCCAGTACTTCGGGAGGTAGAGGCAAGAGGATTGCCTGAGCTCAGGGGTTCAAGACCAGCCTGGGCAACTTGGCAAGACCTCCCTCATCTCAACAATGAATCAAAAAATTAACCAGGCGTGGTGGCGCACATCTGTGGTTCCAGCTACTTGGAAGGCTGAGGTAGAAGGATCACCTGAGCCCAGCGAGTCGATGCTGTGGTGGCCATGAGTGTGCCACTGCAATTCAGCCTGGGGGACAGAGTGAGACTACCACTCAAAAAAAAAATGCTGATTTCTGAATTTTGGGGGGAAAAAAGAAGAAAAATCACAAGATCCACATTCCTGCACAGGAACAATTGGACAGGCCAAGCCGGGGCTGCCCCTGGGAACTGGGATACGACGTCTAGTTTGTCATAATCCCACCACTTCCTGTGGCAAGTGATTTGCTGTTCCCTGCTCAGTACCTTTTTGAGTTCCAGAGGTATTTCCATTCTAAGGGGCTTATGAAATCTTAAGCCAAGTAAATGCAGCTCTAATGGTAGAAACACAGCCTCCATTGAGCTGCCTAAAAACTTACCAAACTTTAAAGCTACGCAAGAACCCTATCGAGGAGACTGCTAGCTGGGGTTTTTTTGTTTGTTTTTTGTTGTTGTTTTGTTTTTTCCCAGCAGTTGTTTAACACCTATCCCACTCTCCCTGACTCCCATCCACCCTCTCACTCCTAAATATCTTCCAACTCTGAAGGAAGGGAAGTGAGTGTGGGACAACCCAGCACATCCCAGGGGGCCTTCACTGGAAGCACTGGCCTCAGGAGATGGCAAGGCTTGGGAACTGAGACCTGCTTTGGGCGTTAGGGATCTGGTTTGGGAACTCCTAGTCCCCTTTGATGTTTGGCTCCTCCTCAATCATCCCACCCCGGAGGATGGGCACAGAAAATAATTTCAATGAAATGTGAGCCAGTACATCATATAATCTACCAACAAATATGATAGGCTGATTAAAGGGAGTGTTTTAGCCCTGAAGTAAAACTTGGATATTGGTAGTTTCTAATACCCAGGGCCCCGCATTTCCCCTTGTGCTCTGAAACTGGACTTTATGATGCTCTATGGCCTAAAGTGCCCTGGACATTTGTTGTAAGATAGCCTTGGAACCCGTGGGTGAAAGGCTTATAATAAGGTGGCTACAGTCTTTTGTTGTGTTGTTGTTGTTGTTGTTGGAACCATGGTCTCACTCTGTCTCCCAGGCTGGAGTGCAGCATCATGGTCATCACGGCTTACCACTGACATAACCTCCTAAGCCCAAACAATCCTCTCACCTCAGCCTCCTGAGTAACTGAGACTACAGGTGTGTGCTACCATACCCGGCCAATTTTTTGTAGAGACAAGGTCTCATTATGTTGCCTAAGCTGGTCTCAAACTCCTCCTTCCTTGGCCTCCCAAAATGCTGGGATTACAGGTGTGAGCCACCATACTGCCTTATGACATTTTTAATACATTCATTTAACATTCCCAATTATAATGATTTGTTATTTTAAAAAACGGGCATAACCTGATTCTGATCTAATTTAGGAATAAGGCAGACCTGGTAGTATTCTAGAACAGATTTTTTTATTTATTGCTGCTGCCAGGTGTGGTGGTTTATGCCTATAACCCCAGCACTTTAGGAGGCCAAGGCAGGAGAATCACTTGTGCCCAGGAGTTCGAGAACAGCCCGGGCAATTTGTCAAGACCTCGTCTCTACAATAAATCAAAAAATACCTGGGCGTGGTAGTCCGTGCCTGTGACTCCAGCTACTTGAAAGGCTCAGGCAGAAGAATCACCTGATCCCAGCAGTCAGGGCTGCAGTGGCTGTGAGCAAGCCACTGCACTCCAGCCTGGGTGACAGAGTGAGACTCCAACTCAAAAAAAAAAATGTGCCATTTAACTAGAACTGAGGCCCCAAAGAACCTCAGACTCAGTGTTAGGTTGAAGTACAACTACCCCTCTTCGCGCTGCCCCCCCCCCCCCCGCACCACACACACAAACACAATTCCATAGGACATTGCAAGGAAAATCCCTTTCTCAAACCTTGACACTGACTAGAGGAAGAAAATGCCAATCCCCCCTGAAGGTTTATAACCTTAAAATATTCCTCAAGAAAGTTTGTAGCCTGAATACTTACTACGTGGGTAATCCAAAGCCTCAAGCGAAGAATTTAGTTTAATGTTGTTTAAGTAGTTTGTGGCCTTTGTAGCCCAGCAGAAGCAAATACCTATCTTCTCTGTAGGAGTCCAGCTCTGACCTAGGCCTTGAGAGAATCCTACAAATTTTCAAGTAGCATGTGCTGTCATTCAAAAGTCATAAAACACACAAAGATATCAAGGCCTTTGACTGCAAAAAGAGAGACAACAAAAATCAAATCAGATTCACAAAAAATTTCAGATATTTGGACAAAATATGAAACAGTTGCCCATAATATGTTTAAAGAAATAAAGGAAGAATTGAAAATATCAGAAAGATGGGGGAGAACACAACATCAATAAGGGTACATGATCTTAAACCAGGCAAAGTAGGGACCAAAGTTATATATCTATCTATATATTGTATACCTAATCCTGAATTGTACCCCACATCTTTAAAATAAAAAGAAGAAAATATCAGAAAGAGCAATATTTTAAAATCATACTGCAGTAGAGCTGTTGGAGTAAAAAAAATGATCAAATAGAATTTATAGAAATGAAAAATAAAATAAGTGAAAGTAAAAACTTAAAGTATAGATTTGGCAATTAGATACATCAGAAAAGATAATTAGTAAACAGAGAGCTGGATCTTCGAAACAGTCAGAGCTTAACACAGAGAATTTTTTTCTCCAAATAGGAGAGATACAGACATATGTGAAAGTGGAAGATATTAAAGAGAGGTTAAGAGACATGAAAGAAAGATTAAAAGGTTTAACATAATTCAAGGTCTGACAATTAAGTTTGTGAGCTTATCCCAGAAAAAGTGATACAGGCTGGTCTCAGTGGCTCACGCCTATAATCCCAGCATTTTGGGAGGCTGAGGTGAGAGAACTGCCTGAGCCCACGAGTTTGAGACCAGCCTGGGCAACTTGGCAAGACCTCATCTCTACAATAAAACAAAAAATTAGCTGGGCATGGTGGCGCGGGCCTGTGGTTCCAGCTACTTGGAAGACTGAGGCAGAAGGATCGCCTAAGCCCAGCAGGTCAAGGCTGCAGTGGCCATGAGCGTGCCACTGCACTCCAACCTGGGCAACAGAGTGAGAATTTGACTCAAAAAAAAAAAAAAAAAAAAAAAGTGCTACAAACCTCATTGTTGAATATCACTATGATCACCCTCAAAGTAATTCCCATGGGAAGCTAATGTACCCACAACAGCACCTAGTCTACCCGTCAAAGCAATTTTGGATCTCTTTTCCTGGAATCAGAAAAAGACATCAGATATCAAGAGCTGTCATCATATTACCCTTGATGTCCTGAATGTCATCAATTGTCTTCCTTTCAATATTTCCTTGATCTTTGGGTAAAGAAAAAAGTCACTGAGGGCCAGATCAGGTGAGTAGGGAGGGTGTTCCAATACAGTTATTTGTGCAGTGCTGCCAACGTAAACCCACGGTGGCAAGTTCGTAAGCTTAATTGTCAGACCTCAACAAATAATGATGGCAGCTCCAATGGCCATCCCTCCAAAAATAAAAGAGTTCCAAAATTGCTTTGATGAGTGGACTAGGCACTGGCATTAGTGCATAGCTTCCCAAGGGGAGTACTTCGAAGGTGACCATAGTGATATTCAGCAATGAGGTATGCAGCACTTTTTCTAGGATGGTTTGAAAACCTAATTGTCGAATCTCATATCTATTCACAATTTCAGAAGAGATATAAGACAGAAGCAATATTTTTT